GGGCGGGGACTGGGGCGGGCGGCGCCACAAATTGCAGCGGGAAGTACGACAGCGGCACGCCCACGGCCAGCTTAGGCGGGCCGTAAGTGTAGCCGCGGTGAGGGTGGTGGTGAGGCCCGTACGGCACCGGCGTCCTGCCGACACCGCGCAGCACGGCCTCAGGCTTCCGACTGTGGCCACACTCTTCTTTGAGTCAAGAGTTCTCGGCGGAGGCGCGAGCGCGGCGCGGAGCGAACCGACCGCCCCCGCTACAGACCCGCCCAAGACGGCGACGCCTGCAGCGGTTGCGCCGGCCATCCTGGAAGGTCTTCGATGGGTGGACGTAGACTCGTTCAATGACTCGACCATCTATTTCCCTTCCAAAATTCCTCATCCATAAAAAAGGTCTTATAATTTTGTTTATAAATGGCTTAGGAATAATGACTTTTCCATTTGAATACAGAATGGTTAAAGATGAAAATTCTCGAAAATATGACTCAAGAATGATACTACTTCCATTTGAATTCTCGATGACAATTAAAGATGACGAACATTTTCGAAAATGCGATGCAATTATGTGTATCATTCTCTTGATGTATTCAATATCTCTAAATATCTACTTAACACTAAAATCTTACTTTATAAAACAAATTAAAAAGTCATGCAAATCTAGTGTTTTCAAAGCGTTTCAAAACTTTAAATAATTTAATGACATGTATGTACATTAAATCACACATTACTTCCGTTATTATTAATTCGGGATCAAACATTATGTAGAACAGGTATTCGAAGACGACGCTGTTCCTATATACTTGACCATCGGAATAAACGACCCTTAAAATGCAATTGACGAATAAATTAAAAACACAGCCTAAGATTATTTCAATATTAAAGCATACGTCACTAATATAACATTTTACAAAAACATATTTTGGATAATACTTTTTTTAATTATCAGTGGACTTCCAGGGTAACTAAATCTGTCATTATTAGGACCTAATGTTTATCCTATCCCTTCTCAGATATAAATTAATGTATATGTCGGTTCTGGAAAAACTTTTGAAATACTGAAGCGATTGGTCACAAATTTTACATGAACATCGGTCGGAACATCGGATAAAACAGAACAGGTTGCGATTCAAAATATTTTCTCAAAATGCTTGTGTTTGTTAGAAAATTTATTTAGAGTTACTCGCAATATACCTAAACAGCATTGTTGTCGGACGTTGCTGTATAACAGCCGAGCAACACCGGATAATCAGCTAGTCCGAGCCAAAGAAATATATAAAGACTTCCCTAAAATATCTAATTGGACGGAAAATATTGATTCGATCCCCCACTCCACAAAAAATAAATAAAAATTGTTAATAAATAAAATTTGGGCTAAGTCGACGTTCTAGGGAGTGGCCTTTGAAAAGTTTTAACGTAGGTTTAGTGCGGTCAAGTTTTTAATCAATTTTAAGCGATTGTATCGTTAATTTAAATTTGAAAGTAGCAATACATCAACAAAAAGTACTTAATATTTTTTTTGACTAAATGACTCATCACGATCGTGGCATTTGTTTTTCAGAAATAGAAAATGAAGCAATAATTGATATTGGAGCTTCCCTAGTTAGTTAAGTGTTTAGAGACGTCCAAAACGTCTGATAAACCAATTCGGCTGGTAAAATTGAACGAAGAAAGGCCGATTAGTTAGTTGTTTTTTTTCCTCCCCCCTTTTTTTTCTCAGAAAACTTGCGAACTGTACTTATGTACGAACACAGCTTCACAGTAGTTGATTAACTTACAGCACACAGGGGAATTTGTTTACTTCTCGTTGACATTCTATATTATTCGAGTACTGTGTGAAAAGTGCGACAATGCATTATTTAAAGCGTTTGAATAAGTGCATTCATCCTGATGTGCTTTGTGTTTAAAGGGTTTATGTGTATTAATGTTTAAAGCCAAAGTCGTGGAAAACGAAGTACTAATTCTCTTGATTCCTAAAACGTTTCATAATTGCTTGCTTTTTACGTGTGTCTATTCGCGTGTGAAACATTATTTCATACGTGCACGCAAATTATTCCATGGAGAAGAAAGAGTGGAAGGGAGAGAGCAAGACAGAAGTACAAACGCCAGGCGAACGTCCACCCTCAGAGAAGACCTCCCAGTGCAGCAATGACATTCCAGCGCGTGGAGAGGGTTACCATGCGCCAAGCGGCGACTGCAGGGGCGTGCGGGGATGTGCGAGCGAGCGCAGGCGGCAGACAAGCAGGCCACTAGTGCGCATGCGTGCACCCGTAGCGTGGCGACGCCGCGCGTGCTGGCGTCTCCGGCTTGTCGTTTCGTCTCACAGGGCAGCCTTTCGTCATATGTCTCACAATGCTGCAAGACTCTTAACACGATGGCGTACAGTCTCTTGTAGAGCGTCTTGTCATTACCGTTACCCGCTGTTACTTTTAACTACCGTCTTGGAAATGCAATGTATGCTTGGGAATCAACTGTCTACTCCCATTACCAAGCTAATTTGCAAGACACAATGTTTCTACTCGTTTGTTCTTAGATTCAACATAAAACTCCTTGAAGTAGTTCATATATTAAATTATGCGTCTGTTGTCAATAAAATCACTTGTCTGCATTTAATTAATCTCCACAGATAGATAAAGATCTTTTAAGAGATTAGGGATACAAATATTTAGTTTTGTTACCTTTGTTTTCTATAAATAATTATTTGCTTCCTATTGTTTAATATTAATTTTTTTGTAAAACTCATTTCTTGTAAACAACAACATTATCTTCTTCTGATCAATTCTATTAATCGCATTACTTGCAATTCAAATACAGTAAAGCTTAATGCGGAAATCTAATGTGAACAAGATTCCCGTTCGTGCCAAAAATATCTACAGCATTACATTGCATAATTTTTCTAATACGAAAAAATACTAGTCCCTTGAGATTCCGCAATGAGCAAGTTTTACTGTATTTGGCTTACAGTTCTCGTCGCGACACTGATTTGTTCGGACGATTCAGCGAGTTGTGCGATAACGCCGAATATTCCTAGTATAGTGAAGTTAAATAGCATGCGTGTTCTCTTCTGTGTTTGTAGGATCTATTTTTGCTTATGCGTGTATAAACTAATACTTGATTTCCAACAACTTAGAAGGCTCTAATATAAACCACGAGATTAACCATCTTCCAGTTTTACAAGTTTGCCACCAACCAGAATGAGCTACACGCAGGCATCTCAACGTACTATATTCCTTTAAAAGGATACTATTCTAGTTATCAACTCATCAAACTCCACTCCAATTATTGATTTCGTTCAAGGATTGGCAGAGACCCTTCGCAAAACAGATTTGCATCCAAAAATTAAAAAAAACATAGGAAAATATCGTAAAGCAAAATCTTGCCTTATCATATTTACAGAAGACAATCAATGAATTACGAAAATAATCCATTTCAAGCTCTGAAACACATTTGAAACCCCTGTTCCATCATCGTTGCACTGATCATACTGACTTCCATGGGAAGTTAATTAGGCGTTAGAGGATACGTGACACAAAGCTAGGGCGTATTGGAAGCTTCGTGACCCACGTAGGATCTTCAGTGCCAACCAATCCCACGGACTCTCCTACTATATTTTAAATTTAAGTGAACTTTTTTAGCCACACTTAAACAGTATATTACGTTGAACTGTAAATATTTCGTCATAAAATAATAAGAAAATTGACAATTGCTCCATAGTCTTCATTAAAATGCATTTAAAACCTGTGTACCCTTCAACTAAACACATTAACTGAAAACAAGAACTTCAGAGGTAGAAGTTAGAAGAACTTATTGTTTTACAAAATCATTTATTTTTTGACTACTATACATTTGTGTTTTAAACAGGTGCTGATTTATTACAGGTGGATGCAAAATAACATTTTCGTTCACCAGGAGTTTTATGTGCAATCTAAGTAAGACCCACTACAAATTGGTTGCTACCAACCTCGAGCAGCACATGCTACACGTGCTGATCTATTCGGAGCACGCAGCTTACCTGTAATTGAAGTCATCTCTTGATTCGTCACTCAGTAACGTGCTGTAGTCGTAACCCCACTGCTCTATAAGGTAACGTATCAATTGCCTGAAACAGAAAAAATAGTACATTAATTTGCTATATTTGAAAACGGTTAAAACGGTCCTTTGTCACGGCACAACAATTTCTTTTATCTATACTAGAACTAAATAGATGAAGTTAGAAAATTTGATGTTAAAAACGATTGGAGAAGGAAACTAACACATTACTTTTTTCGAAATGAATGATACCATTTGCGTGTTTAACATTGTTTTTAATCATGTTTGCAAACATGGGCGAGTACAAATTCACATGCGTGATTAGTTATATCAACAGTTTATGATTTTAAATATTCCAATTGTATAGTCGAGAATTTATGAAACAGATAATATTTGCACAGATAATAAACAGAGGAATACATACATACATACATATATATATAATGTTTTAAAATGAACATTGAATAAAAATTTGATGTGTGATATGCAATTACACACAGAAAGCAATTTTCTTTTAGCATTGCATTTAGATATTGTGAAACGTTTCTTAGTTATTGGGAGTGGTTCAAAGTTGGTGAGTCATTCTCTTTATACCGAAATGTATCCACACGTGAGGTAGTAACAGTTTCTACTACAGTAATAAATATAACATTTAAATTATTAAAATGACAAATTAAATGATTATTAACTTAAGTGCCATTTTCGTAGTGGGGCGTATAGATTAGATTATATTTATTAATAATTCAATAATATGCAATTAAGCTAAACAAATTGGTTTCAGAATACACTAACTCAACGACTTCACAAAATTTACAAACTTTACAAATTTACGTGAACATTTTACCGTGCAATCCACTTCCTCACACTTCATTTCACCGCACTGCGAATCACTGAGTACTGTACGCATAAACCTCACCTGGTGAGGGGTTTCTTTTGGATGCTTTCGAAATTGTGCTCAAATTGAAGTTTCAGAACGTTCTCTCTGAAATAAGTAAATGTAAATGTAAGGTGCTTGCTAAATTGTATTTAGTTTATCAGGAATTATCATTTCGGGTGAACAAAAATAATAAAAAGCAAAAAAAATATACAATCGTTGTTTCCTTAATTCGACGAACAAATGTTTCCTATGTCATTTTGCCGACAGTGAGAAACATTTCTTTAATGTACAGCAGTTTCTTCTTTTCTCTTCTATAACATTCAGAAGGATGTGAATAATTCAGTGGAAGAGCTGAGGTTATTTCTAAGACAGATAAAACCAACGAAAAACGCAAATTTGTAAATTGGTAGAACTGGGGTGAGTCCTGTATCGCTTGCGGTCCCGCTATCGCAACCCACCTCGTCCGCCGGTCCTCTGAACTGCAATGCTCTTCCTGTTCGCAAATTGCGCAAATGCCCTCGCGAGTCTTCAACATGACTTCGAGTCTTGAAATTGCGCTTTAAATTTCGGTGGCATAAAGAGTACGAGGAAAATATTATGAGGATCACGCTGACTCCTCTTGAAATGACTAACCTTGCAATTGTCATATTAATTTAAAAATTAAATTCAATATACAAATACATTAAACAAAAATAAATCATATCTGTTCTCATTCATATTTGAGAACATTAAGATATGTACGCGGTAATCTAGTGGTTAAAAAATTGGGTCATCAAAACTTACGAGGTTATAACTAAATGTACGTTGACGATTCAAAAATATGCACTCTCAATGCCTTTGGCCGTCTGGTGGGATGACTAACAAAAATAATACGATCTGTTAATAGTACATTTCGTATTGTTAATACTATAATTCTGAGATCTCGACTGAACTCATGGAAGGAACTCGCATTTCCCGGATCACAAACTGTCATTTGCAACTTCACAAGAAATCAGAAAACAAACATAAGTAAAAACTACAAACCGGTATAGCATTTGTCAACTGGCAGAAACAACTTGAAAATAATGTATCAAGTTTTAAAGATTATTTGATCAGTTTCATATTTAAACATATTTATAGCAGTAAAATAAATATAATAAACATAAAAGCAATAATTTCATTCATCTTACTTTGTTACAATAACGATATTTCGTTGCATTTAATCTGTGCGAATAAACAACAACAAAAGGACTCGATGTGCCTCTCACCGTATCAGTAAATACTGGTAATTTGCATTATGAAATTGACGGACTATTTTAAATGAGCTAAATTGTTGTGAATCTCAAATTACTTATTTCTTAAAACCATTAATACATACATTATTTTAATAATATGCGCAAGGGTATCAATGAAAAAAATGCAAATACACGAATATTGTTTTTAATTTACATCTACCGCTCTCAACATCTTGTTAATGATTCAACCACAATACATATAACATAGTATGTGTACTTGTTCAAAATCTAACATTAATAGTTTTGTTCTTGACTGGTAATGCGCCTAGAGAGAACAATAAACTTATCGTTATTTGTGGAAAAATAAATCGTGTAGCTTAATGCTTGAAATTAAACAATGCATGAAATTAATCGCTACTAGGAAACAAATATTGGAAGTTTGATATTTGAAATTTCGTAGTGCATTATATTTTTGACATAAGTTTTTGATACATAATAATTGAAGCTCGGTTTTCTATCTTACCTGTGCAATTCTCCTTTGATAACATTATTATCAAAACTATTCATTCAGCTTTGATGAAGCATTCAAGGCTTTTGGCATGGAATTTCAGCTGGGTAAATTGTCACTTTCAATATTTTTAGAAGGAAGATATCTGCTGAAAAAGCTATTGCTTACTGCTTGTATATACAAAGATAAACATTTATTTTTTATTTGAATTAGAAATTGCAAGAAACTACATGTGTTAATATATAATGGCCTTTTAAAAGTAAAACAGTTTGAAATGGTTTCTTGTTAATTATTTAAATTGTATTTTTTATTTTAATATCAGTTATCTGGGTAATAATTTTTTAACGACTGAATAATGAATATGCATTATACGTAAATTAAATAAAATTAACATACAATGAAAATCTAAAATTACGAAGTAAAAACATTCTTATCTGAAATAATTACTTTTACTACCAGAGATGAAAAAGTTTCGGACTGTTCGCAGATGTTACTCAAGTCATTCAGAGCAATTAACATTACGTTTCGAATACGTAAATTACTGTACTACTGCTCGAAGTGAAACTATTTAATTATTTATTATAAAAACGTAAAAAAAAAACTCCATGATTGGTATGCTCACGCTTTCTCTCGTGCGTAAAAACGAAGATTTAGGACGACTCTTCAAGTGGGGCATTTTAGATGCACATGAGCTATGATTGGAACATAATGAAACATATTTATCCTGATGAGATATTAAAATTATTTTCTCCATTGATTTTAAGAACAAAGTCATAAACTAGTTCTCAATGCATCTATCTCTTTCTAATATTAAACAACCAAGTAACCAACCAAGTTTAGTAGTGGCTGAAGCCTCCACACCAACAGCGCTGGTTGATGGCTCAATTGAAAAATTGGGAAGTAGTGCATCTTTTAAATCGGAGAGCCCCTCCCCTACAATATGTCGAGGAGCTGGGTGGCTAAAACGCTAATACTTCACGTTGTAAATTCCTTTTTTGTTTGCTTATTTTTCATTAAAAGTTAAAGTTTATTTCCGGAATTCTGTGTCTTATGGCAAGAAAATGGTAAGACCTCTTCGATCATTTTCTAGATTAGATCATGATCACTTTGTTCCCCTTTTCTACGTTCTATCTACACACTTAGTTTGGTCGATTCTGTAACATAAATATCATTTTTAGAACTAGCCTAAAACACGTCTCCGATTGCATGGAGGGCAAGATAAAGGTAAACACCATTCTCATTTAGAAAATGGATATTAGAAGATTGGTGTTTGGCGTGTCTTAAGAAAATTTAGGAAGTTGTTGTAAGTAATGCTTAACAAACATAAAAGTAACTGACGAGAATGAGTCTCTGAAATAATATAATCATATGGATGTTAAAGTTTGCGGGAGTATTATGGAATGTTAAAAAATAAATTACAACATTTGAAAATTACTTGTATATTTATTATTTCAAGTTAATTAATTTAATTATATTTTTCACTCTCAGATGAACGTATAGAACAGCAAAACCAGATTTTTAAATTCCTTGGAGGCTTCAACATGCAGAACTCTCCTGTCTGGTCTCATAAAGATAGAAGTGAAGAGAAGACGATCAAAACTAATGAATAATACAGAAGCAGCACAGTCTATAGTATTACTAATTTTCAACTAGCGCAAGTTTGTTACCCAATGTCAATCCAAAATATTACAATATTTGAAACTTGTTCATCTTCATTACTCACGATACCAATGATTCTTTACTCAGTTATGATGAGAAAATACAAGATGTGGTGAGATAAAGTTACTTTCATTGAATTTAGCAGTTAATTTAAATAAACCATGGAATACATCTTCCTAGCATGGCATTATTCTGTAACTGAACATGTCTACAGCATCAATTATTGTTTTCATTTCTACACATATATTGATTTGTGTAACCGAAATGTTTGTGGGAAGGTAATGGTAAGCGCCTTTTCCCAACAAGGCACACCAACATACTAAATTATTCGTATTATCTAACACTTCTGACATAATTTGCATTTAAAATTTGATCAAATCAAATGTACATTCAATGCATTAAAGTTGGCTTTATGATAAATTATAACAAGAGATGATTCAAAGACGACAAACTTTTTTCGCGATATGTCAAAACCGCCTTGCTGGCGCTTACCATTGTCTTGCTCCAAGGCACAGAATTGTTTTATGTTGGTGTTTTGTTTCATTTTACAGAATATCCATCTTGGGGAAGTTGCTATTGGAATGCTAATTGGAAAATAATTCACAATACAGTGAGGGATGTTTTTGAAACACAACGGTGAAAGTGGTGTTCCTATGTCAACACCTGAAACCCTTTTCCTCCATGATCTTTCCCGTATTTTTCCTCTTGGTCCCGAATCACTGTCCTTCCAAGAAGGAATGTGGGCGTGCCAAATCTGCATCGTGGATTTGCGGACTTCCCGCGATGACAGGTTCGCCTCGGCTTCACAAGCGTGGCGGAAGTGAAGCTGTTGACGCAATTCGTGATCTTTGCGGCGACGGACGGGTTGCTCGCTTCTGACGCTCGTGGCCTTTGAAGGGCGGCCCTCAAGAAATGCAAAGCAGGATATTGTTCGAAAAGAAGGGAAGACAATATTTTATACAACTGTTACACAGATAAGTTTGCGTAGGAATCTTACCAAGTATCGTGCAGCGCTAAATGACGAATAATATTGAAAACATGTGAATTGTGAAACAATTCACGATATTTGTGAAGCAGGGCTGCAACGGGCTCTACATACATTTTTGCTTTGAGTTAAAAAAAAATTAACTGGCTTTGTAACAAGGAATAAGTAAAACAGAAAAAGTAGGTTTTGAGCTAATAACGTTACTAATTGAGGTATCAAGAACGCAAAGGGACTAAGTGACACTTTCCCATTTCCTAGAAATGGAAGTTACAAGTTAGTAGATTGTTTTTTATTATTGATAAATGTATTTTGTTCAAATTTATAACTCATTTTTGTGTACATTCTGCACTTCTGAACTTCGTCCAGAAAATTCATTTCTCTCCCTAAGCACTTTGACCTCTCAATTATTGTGATATATACAAAAATAAACGTACAATATTTGATTTTATGTAGCATAAAAACGTGAAAATATTGACGCTTGTTAACGGAAAAGCGTTGGAAATATTTTATCTTAGAGAGTCTCTGCTTACGAAAGTTCTTGGTTGACTTTATGAACGTTGTATTATTATACACGTCTGTAATTCCGAGAACTGCCACTGGATCTTTGGGATCTCAACACGCTCTGAATATACTATCTCACACAGTACACTAGGTGTTCCCACACTAAAAATTTGTAGATAATTAGATAGTACAAAATGAAGGACAAGGGTAAGGGTAAGTATCTCACAACTTTCACACTTTGAAACATTGGAGAAATGGGCAAATCGACGATGCGGGGATATCTACGAGCAGGGCGTGACTTTTGGCGGAACGTGATGGAACAGTGTTCTGATACCTCAGAAATACTTAACAGAGAAACTTTCTCGCATACGCACAAAATGTACATAGTTTACACGAATTTATGAAATGCTGTGGAAATTCAAATTCGAGATTTTAACGGAAATACACGTTTTGTGATCCACTATTACCGAAAACGTGTTTTTACTTTCTCGCCTTACTACGTACATTGTTAAGAAAAAGTATTGTAACCGTACGGTAGAAATCAGCGATTAGTCGACATAAATTTTATTTTACATTTCTACAATTTTATCAGACATTTTATTTTACAGTCTTATTGAGCTCTGGTAACGCGAAATCTTGTTCCTATATTTAGAAAATTACTTTCCCTAAAACGTCACGAAAAAATAATTGTTTTGTGGGTCCTTGATATCGAAAACTCGACGGCAAAACGTGACTGTGTCTGTTCATCTACGATCAACGCTTACGACAGTATATTCAAACGATTTTCTCCAAAATTGTTGTCCTCTACTCGACTTGAATAAACTCAAGACTCTGCGAGTTTGAAAGGGGTATTTCGATTTTTAGAGATAATTTTAAGTAAAGCCTCAAATTTTAAAATTTTCTCAAAAGTGACTTCTATTTTTTTGATTCAATTTTGTTCTCCGATAGCTTAAAGAAATATTTAAAACATAGCGTGGACCACATTTTAGTTAAAGTATCTGAGTTTTCGAAAATTGCAGAGGGTCCAAATTTTTTTCAGCGTCTTTTTGCGGCCAAGTAATCAAGCAAGAGAGTTCTTCATGAAATCTGTTGTTCAAAGACCTTTTGAAATAATATCGTGTTTGAAGTTTTGAAAATAGAATTTTGGCGTAATTTTGTGTGAAAATTAGGCAATTGTTAAAGAATTACTTTCTCAAAAATTGCACCAAATTTTTCTTTAAATTTTCTCCTTGTACATATATCAAAGGACGAGAACAAAATGGTATTTACAAGGTTGCAGAGGTCCGTCTTTACTTGTATAATCATGGTATTTACAATGACGCCGTAGGTGTGATTTCGGCTTCTCAATTTTCGAAAATCGCAGTAACAAAACCAATTTTTAGAAGGTAGAGATTTTTTCTTCAAATGAAATTTTGCAATTAGTTGTTTAATTAATGCTATGTACTTTTTTGAAAATATTAGTAATTTTGAGTGAAATATGTGTAATACGTATGGCACCTATAGAAGAGATCAATAACTCATTCGACTTTTCGCGGCAAGACAAATCCGGTGATACTATTCTTGGCCCTTCCCTTTAGGGTATTCCGGGAAAACACGTGTTTTCTGGTTTTGTAGTATGAAGTATTGTGCGAGACATATGCTGTCACAGAATCGTGTAAAATATGTTGTCAAGGCGACAAACAAGTAACAAAAGGTTCTTTGATGTATGAAGGAAATTATACATGTTCAAAAGAAGACGAGTAAAATTATTTGATTTCAGTAAATATAATAAATAAAATATAATGATAATGAAATATTGATTCATCGATTCCAAAAGAAATTAGTAAGCAGCGAGATAAGTGTAATAGAGATATATAACATCAAGTTTCAATGCATGAACGAGTACATTGATGAAATGCTGTGAATTACTTCAATGTCTTTCATTTACATGCATCATTACCACTTACCCAACACGACAGTTGATATTTAAACCAAATTTTGAAATGAAACAAAAATTAAACAAGATTTTTATATGAAAATTTTTCATGTAATTTTCTGTTTTCACACGAGCCGAGCAAATATTGTGCGTTTAATATTAGTTATTGATAAGAAATTCCAAAGTAAATTACAAATAAAACTTTTTTAACATGAAAATACCCGCCGAAGGCGTCACTCTAAGCTAGGAAATGAGAATATAAGGTATAGTCCTTTCAAGTTAAAAAATGTTACGAATATTAAATATTTTTAAAACAATTAAATAATAATAATAATAATAATAATAATAATAATAATAATAATAATAATAATAATAATGATGATGATGGATGATGGATGATGACGATGCAGAGAGGCAACACAAAATCGACTTCCGGCACTGCGGCGACAGCCGTTGCCAGCGGTGACTGCCTTCTCTGGGCGTGGTCACGCCCCCGTTAACGAAGCCCCTTTATTACCGCCGTTATTACATGCCAAGAAATTGCTGTCAGGCATTAACGACTCCCGCGCAACGACACTGGTCGAGAGACAACTGTAGATAAAACTCGATGCATAATATAGTATTTATTCAAGGTGACATATTCGCGCTCGAAATACGTATTAACTTGTGTGTGGTGGAGCCCAGGGTCACCAGACGACCTCGCCCGCGGCGCCTCCCACCCGCGCACAGAACGCCGCAGCACAATAGGTGTGCTGCTACAAATGGGAGGACAAAATAAGGTCTTCCTTGACGTGATTGCTTCGGTATCAACATTTTTAGGTCGCTTTTTAACAATTTGGTCATATAGTGATTGCTTTAACTGTAGGGGGAACTGTACGAAGAACAAGTAAGGACAGCACGAACACTCACAAAACCATCCATGCCCGAGGCGGGATTCGAAACCGCGACCGTTCAAGCCGAGGCAACTACGGCCCATCACACATAGCGATCTTGCCTGTGCTGTCCGGCCAAAAAATCACACATCTTCACAAAGATGAAAAACACATTCTCATTAAAAAAAAGAAACGTAAGAATCTACATGTTGCTGTATTTTATTAGACACAACTACTGATACTCTTGCGTATAAATTACAGAAGATATATGATCAATAAATTCTGTACCGGCGATCATTTTAATCAAACTAGAAAGTACCGGTGAAAAGTTGGAGAGAAGAAAGAATTAATTTCAGATTTTGCAAAAATAGATAAAATATCTTTGGTAATTCTATTAATGATGAACGTGATGTTATCATAATGGAAGTAAATTATATTTCATTACGATATATTTTCTAATATTGTAAGTACGAACAGATAGTGTCAGAAAGTTTCCTTAGGTCGACAACGAAAAGAAAACATTTCATAGAAAACATTATTGTAGGGGAGTACATCTTGCTCCATTTTTCCACACATTCACCAGAAATGAGATACTCTTCATACATACACATGTCCTAGAAGTTTTTCGCCTACTACTGGTAAATTTTGGCCACCACTTGCAACTGTGCCTCACTATGATAGTGTAATGCTGACCGGAAAGAACTTTCTTGAGGTGTAAGAAAAGTCGGAATTCGCTGGGAGGGAGAGGGATCAAACACCTGTTAACGGAACTGCTGCAAAAGATATGCTATGTGGCGAGCTGTGTGTGGCCGATCGTATGACTAGAGTTGCTTCATGTATTGGTTGCAATAGTTTTCTCATGAAATTGTGTTTGCTTTATGTTTAAGATCTACGAAAACTTACTTTGAGAATGCGCCTCATAATTTCTCACATTCAGAATGACAGAGATTACCGAACAAAATTTTATTCGTGCATCATCGAAAATCCTGATTTCAATGATTGATTGATAATTAGCAATTCCGGTTGTGTAAACAGATAACAGAATTAGTCCCGTAAGTGTAGTGCATAGTTGCGGTCGAGACGTGGCGATGATCTTGCCGCGCTGGATGGGAAGATCCGGCGCGATCTACCGTCGGCTAGCGGGGCTTCCCCAACCAGATATCTTCCTCTAGTGAGGCACCGCCCCAGCGGGGACAAGCTCTAACCTCCCGAACGGCCTCATGGCATGTATGGCAGTGTAGTGCATGAAAGTGTGTGTAAAGGGTGAGGATAGGACAAGTAATTGGAAGGAATCGCGCGCGGTTCGTGGCCCGTTTGTTAGGATCCTGGTCGGCATTCGCTTGGTATTAATCGCAGAAACCACGGAAACCACTGATCAGAGTAACATGCCCTTAGAATTCTCCTCCAGACAGTGACTGAACTTGATCTGGGTAGTGTCGAAAATCCTGCCACCGTCAGGTCACGAACCTCAGGACCTCCCGGTCAGAGGCACTGCAGTGACATCAATTGATGTCCTGAGACATCTCTCGGTCCTGATTTCAATTCTATACCAGTACTACTATAACTATGGTATTACTTTCCTACATTCCATTACAGTTTACTTCCCAATCTACGAGAATATTTGCACTAAAGTGCAATTTTGTAACACACCTTATCGAATGATCTAAACAGAATTGTTTGTCATTTAATTAATGTGTCATGTAATTAGTGTGATATCACTACGTAGAGTCAAGTTTAACAGCCCCAAAACCACGCAATAAAAGTGAAGAAAAAATAAAAAAAAGTAATTATCAAAAGAGAATAAAGTCACAAATGTATTACGAAACAT